GATTATATATGTATATATAATCTGGTCAACAAAAATATTTATTTTCCCTTAGACACTGAAAGAACAAAAGGCTGGAGGTGGAGGAAAAGGTGGGAAAGGTGCAACTGATGTAAGTATGAACTAAACTTTTTAAACTTTTCAGTGCCATTTTTTTGTTCTAGAAAATGTAGTAGTTTAATGTTACAGTCTTTTGTTATTCTCCACCCATTGGACTTTTCGGTATTTTTAGTGTTATTTGGATTTTATGTCACACAAAATAATCCCTAGTTTCGGTAAAATCCCAAATAAGCACTGGTGAAACCAGTTGCATGGAGCCCCCCTGTGTGTCATGCAAGTGTCACTGATCCCAAACTAGAAATACATGTTTGTGTAAGGCTGCAGGGTTTAAGAACCTACCTTATCAAACAGCATAATGAAGACCAAAAAGTTATCAAAATTTGTCTGGAACATAGATTTGTAGAAGCGCCAATCTATTATAGGTTGTACATTTTGTAGCATGACCCAAACTTCACTCCCCCTTCTAGAGCATTTGTTATTTTCTTGTACTTTGTTCCTGCTGGGAAAAACAGCTATTCTACTCTCTGTGATGTCATTACAGGGCTTATAACATTCTTCATTCTTGCAGAAGCATCTGATAAAAGGAATCAGCAGGGTGCCCTAGGTTATTTCCTAATGGTGTAGGCACCCTGCCCTCCCACGGAACTACATCTCCCAATAGTCTCTACCTACATACAGTGTGGGCAGGTTCTTTGGAGTCATGGCAGCAGCATTGTTTTCCTCGGAAAGTAATCAATGTATGCATGTGAAGTAGAGTGGAATGGAGAGGGGTGGGGGAGAGGTGCATTTCTGTAGTCCTGGAAAGGCTGAAAACTATGCTTGGGATTTTAGTGCAGCAAAACAGAACAACAATAACAGTTAGTAGCTCATGTGGAACGTGCATGTGTGGCAGAGATTTATTACATATGGGGTTTTTTTTCCCCTAGACATACACTTCAAGGGCTCATGCACATGGCTGTAAGAAAATAGAGCAACTAGTACGCAGGATCTTACTGGCAGAGGCTGCAGCATGATCCAGCATGAAAGTTGCCCTGTACCCTGTACACATGTAACATTTGTGTAATGTTTACAGAGTGTAGTGCAAAGGTGCCCTATTGGTTTCTGGGATACTAGGCGGCTCAAGCTACCTGCATCCTAGTAACAAGGGACGCTAGACATCTCCATCCGCCTGCATCATAGCAACTAAGGATGCTAGGCAGCTGAAGCCACCTGCACCCTAGCAACAAAGGACTCTAGCGTCCTTGGTTTCTTCAGCCGCCTGGCGTCTTCTTTTTGCTAGGATGCAGGAGGCTCTAATGGAGTGCATTTGCTCTGTATGCTATAAGTATGTAAATGTTAGCACAAACATTTACATTCATACAGCGTAATATACAGTATGATCTATATACAGGGCCTCAGACACAGATTTTTCAATTTTAATTTTATGGGTGCAGCACAAGTTTTCTAATCTTTACGCACTGTGTGCATAGGCCCATAGAGAACAATACACCTGTGTTAAGATCTGTACAAAATACTGTACTGGGAAAAACCCAGCGTTTTTTTTTTTTTACTGCCGTGTGCATGCACTCTAAACATGACTCAGAGTACCATTTAAATTAATTTAAAAAAAGGAACTTTAGTGTTAAAAAAAATTTGCTAGAAGGTAGGCTTTGATTGTAGAAGAGACTTTGTGAGGGGAATTTATCAAAATCTGGAGCAGCTGTGCATGACAACCAATCAGCTTCTATCTTTCATTTTCAAATCTTAACTGAGCAAACTGAAGAGAGAAGCTGATTGGTTGCCCCGGGCAACTGCACTATATTCTGTCTGCTCCAGTTTTGATAAACCCCGTATGGTTCCAATAAAAGCATTTTACCCGTTTCCTGGCAAGTTTATAAAGCTTGTATATTGAGCCGCACATGTGCAGTTCATATGTACAATCTCTTCATTCTTTGATGCCTGGTTAAATTGACTCCCATGAGCATGCCTGGGAGTTCTGTTGTCCAAGGCCAGCCAATTCAAGATGGTCGAAGACAACAAACCCAGAAGAAGACAGTAAATCAGGCTTTAGTTCAGCTTTACAAATGGAAAGAATATGGCAGAGCTGCTACTTTCCCTACATAAGGCCGTCCATCAATTGTCAGCGACCGGTGAGAGGAGCAAACAAGTGGCCACTGATAACTCCAGAGAAGCTGCAGAACTCCACAGATGAGATTGGATGGCTATAACCAAGAACGCTACAAAGCTGGTCTTTATTGAACAGAGAGGAAATGTAAAATAGAACAAAAAATACAAATGCTATTTAGAGTTTGACAAAAGGCATGTTGGAGACACAAAAAAACCTGTTCTCTGTTGTGTCATTTCCAGATGCATACAATTTTTTTTTAAATGCATGGTATTCATGGCACTTTTATATAAGACAACTTTCTTGTTTTAGTTTTACTTATCTTTTACAGGTAGCATTCTGAATGTCTCTTACCCTAATGCTTCTTTGCTGATATTGTGTTTGTTTGCTGCTTTTTAGGGAGCACTCTGTGTCATGGAGGAGCTACACAACATTACATTTACCACAAATTTTGATTATGAAGGTGTCAAGTTGACTTTAGAGGTGATTGTTGGTCTTTTCTTTGTATATTACATGGCCAGTGTTTGGCTCATTGTCTAATAATATTGAGACATTTGATCTACATGTTAGCAGGTGATATCACCACCTTGTAATCCAAAACATTATGTCTTGGGGGGCAGGCTCTTCCACGCTCCCTGCTGTACACCTGGGACAAATAAGCAAGATGCTCTGTGATGTAAAAGTCCTCATATATTGTGTCTCACACAGTGATAGACAATAGAAGATCTCACCCAAAAACATATGCATCCTAAAGTTCCAAAGGATACATGCTGTCATTCAAGATCGTAGGTCACCTCCACTTTGCTGCTGAGGTAGTGGCCATATACCTTTGACAAAGCTCCATGCAGAAGCAAAACATGTTAGATCGATCAGCGGATGTTCTGTCCTGTGCGGTGGTACAAACTGCGGGTTCGACAAACTCTGTGATGCTGGACTACTACAGATCGTTCATGGATTTAATATGGATAATGCCATGAGGGGAACTACCTCAGCAGCAAGTGGAGCTGGCATACTATCTTGGATTACAGCATGCATCCTTTTAAACTTTAGGACGCATATGATTTTGGGTGAGATCTTTCCACCTTCTATTGTCTATCATTGTGCGAGATACAATATACTGTATGAGGACTTTTATAATACAAAACATTGTCTCTTCTTATGTGTTTTGGAGATGCATAAATCAAAGGAATAGTTAACTCAAAACTTATTTCAGTTTTTGGTAGATACAGGTGGGTGATTTGAGACATGAACATATAACTGTAACTAAAATGTCGGCATTGAGAGGACTGTTCTTTTAATCCCGTCCTTGGGGTCCTCCGATTGCTTTGGATGAGCTCGGAGGTCAACATTTCCCCATGCACATGTATGTAACAGGTTTCCAATTCCCAATTCTGGTTGTGGGGGTGTTTTACCTAAGATCCCATCCAGGCTGCTGAGCCATGAGGAAGGTGCATGCCTTAGATATATTATGGCAGTGGATATAAACCACCTCATGCCTGCATTTGTAATAAGAACAATGGGGAATTTGTGTTTTATGCCACCATACAGACTTTTGCACATCTTAGGTGCTCTTAGATTTTCTGTCTTGATTTTCATAATTCATACACTGATTATTTTCTAAGTGTATCAGACATGTTTGTCGGACAACAAGCATTGACTTTTCTTTGGTAATTATATTCTTTCATCTTTGTGTGTTAACTGATTTGTTAATGAAAAAAAAAATCTTATTTGGTGTCTTCTTGTATTTTGTTTTCTCAGGCTGTTACCTTACCATTTGTTGTAATCTCCAACCTCAGTCAATTCACAGGAGCATGGTCTCAGACGGGCACAGTATCTTGCAGCCGCGGCCGCAAGGTACTGTGCCCGTCTGAGTGCGTGCGGACGGGACGGCAATACATGCCGGCGGAATCTTGGCAGGGAATGAGCGGCACTCTCCGGGGGGGGGGCACTTAATTGCAACAACTCCGTTTAGTATGGATTTGAGAAGGTGCGGACTTTTTAAATGTATTCACTCCCGGGTTCATGATTGGTTGTTAGATCTCCTGTCAGAAGAGGACACATTTAAATAAAGGTGGAGGTGCACTGTTAATAGGATTACATTGCAATGAAGGCAGAAATGGAGTAAATAGAGTATCTGTGTATGTGAGAAGATAAATATACCAGCAAAGACAGATGTATTTTGTGCTCTGAAAATGAGAATATTGTCTTGTTGAGAATTCTGGTTTACTTTTGTTTGCTTATTTTCTAGGATTTGACATTTTTCTCCAACCCTCCAGCTGCCCCTTGGTCTCTCCTGGCTAATGCTCTTAGCTGGCAATTTTCATGCTGCACTGAGCGTGGTTTGAATCCAGATCAGCTGCAAATGTTGGAAAAGAAGCTGTGTGGTATAGTTTATTTTTAAGCTTCTGAATGTTTTTAATTGCTATAATCTTATTCGAGCAGAGACTGATTCTTAGCTCATGCTTAAAGCTGAACTCCAGGTAGTTATAAAAGACACAAAATAATGCTGCTCTGTAATCATTAATACATCATTAAATGTATTTTTAATGCAAGCAGTGCAAGTGCCTGAATGTGACCTGGTATCTGACTTTTTGCATTTCCTGTACAGCAGTGTTGGAGTGCGAGAGGAAGAGGCAGTACAAAAAGCCAATCAGTTCATGTGCTGACATGATGCTTGCTGATGAAAGAAAAATCTGAGTGAACGATACATGGATTCATTACTGTGCTTCTCCTTTCACTGTCCAGGCAGGGCTGGGTCCAGGACGACCATGGATCTAAGGACATGGGCATTATTAACCTCTTGCCGTACGCCCGTTAAGAAAAAACGGACGGACGGCAGACTCGCATCAGCGGGTTGCCGTCGCCAGACGTCATTTTTTTCCTGCTCGCGCGCGCATGGGCAGGAAAGACCCGCTCGTTACTACAGCCGTTAACGGCTGTTTCACATACAACCGATCAGCGGCTCTATAGCCGCCGATCGGTTGTATGGCGTGAATTTCGGAGCGCCCCCCCAATTGCGAGTGCCGCCATCTCCCCCCTCCTGACCCCTCACCTTTAATCCCGGGATCCGCTAGCCCATCTGCGGCCCGGGACCGGCTCGGGAGGGCGTCAGGAGAAGGAGGGAGGGAGATCAGCTGCTTGCTGTTCTCCCTCTGTAGTATGAATGCAGAAGTGATGTGTATTACATCACTTCCGCATTCACCTGTCAGTCATCTGGCTCCTACTGCCAGAGAGAAGAAGCTGATGAAGCAAATCTGTGCTTCATCAGCTTCTTTTGGGGTCTCCAGGTGACATTAGGGGTCTAGAGACCCCTAATGTCTCCATAAAGAGGACCTGTCAGTGTACCTGTGCTATTATATAGGGGGATGGTATCCCCCTATGTAATAGCAATAACAATAAGTGTAAAAAAAAAATCTATATAAATAAAAAAAGTTAAAAAAAATAAAAGTCACAAACAAAAAAAGTTTAAAAAAATAACAGGTCACAAATAAAAAAAAGTAAACCACCCCCCCAAATGTTTAAGTCCCCCCACCTTCGTTTACGCACATTTAAACGTAAATATGCGTCGCATGCGCCAGCACGCGAAAATGACAATTGCGCTACACATGTTACATATCGCCGCGAACGTCGCAGTGAGAGCAATCATTTTAGGGCCATCAATCACTGATAACACTAAACTGATGAGCGGTAAAAGCTTTTAATGCGTCGCCTATGGCCAATTTTGGGTAATGTAGTTTTTTTGAGGTTTCGCGCGCATGCGCAATTTTAAGGCTTGACATGTTTGGTGTCTCTTTACCCAACGTGACCCCGTCTTTTATATTTTACCAAAAAATTGGGTAATAATAAATGTTTTAGAATTTAATATAGGGGGAACTGTTTTTTTTTTTTTTAAATCTGTAGTTTTTCCTTAATATATTAAAAAACATGACTGTGAATAATTTCCTTTTCCGAAGCGAATTCCTGAAACTAGATTATATTTTAGCAAAGATAGTTGGAAAGAGGAAATAGGAAACAAGCACTATTATAAAAAATATGAAATTGGTAAAGCTCCTATTCTAGATGGATTTATCATAATCTACTTTAAAAAGTACGCCACCATATTAATCCCTAGCCTTAAAATATTTACAGTCTGTTTATGAAAGAGTGCCCTGCATCCCTTTCTTGGTCTATGAATTCCTTAATTACAGAACTCCTGAAGCCCTACAAGGCCTCGTTATCCTCTTCACGTTCAGGGGTTGTAAAAACCATCGTAAACAGACTGAATTTTGAAGTTTTAGTATGCAGTGGTTTTCTCAATTAAAACTGTTTCATACCTAAATGTATTTCACACCTATTTTTTTAGCACTTATGAGTTGTCATATGTTTATAAAAATACCCTGAATATATTTTTATAATAATCAGTGAAAACATGAACACAAATGCAAAAAAAGGCAGTTTTAGTAATTCAGTAACATACAGACTGGCCTATAATAATGTTAATGTAAAGTAGAGCCATTGCGAATGGGTAAAATAAAAAGATGAGACACTTTTAATATCATAAACAACATTTTAGGCTTTGTTTGTGGTGAAAAACAAGGATACCGAAATTGTAAATAGTTGGCACATTACATTTGTTACAGCTCATTGATCAGAGTAAAACTAAAATAACAGCCCTGAACTCATTCTTCCACCTCTTGCGTGTGCAGGGATGTCTAATGGGTAATGGTAAAACTATTGTATTATACTTTCATTTTTTTACACATTTTCTGGATTTATTCTCAGTGGAGGAGATTGGAGAATGGATGTTCCCTGATCTCCTCTACCTACTCGGCCATCTTAAAAGCCCCCGCATCCTCCAAACATCCCAAGCTAACAAGAGGAGCCAAGTGAGTCTGGAGACCTCGTACAGTTCCTATTTCCAAATGTTTAAAAAAACCATAGTTTAGTTGCCTTTCTGGCCTAAAGTGGAACTCCAGTTAGAGTGTATCTTTTTCTTGTGGGTAGAATCAGAAATGGTAAGAGCCTCGTTAAGGTTTTTTATCTGGTCTATGACACAATTTTGTATCTGGTCTATGACACAATTTTTGAGTTTCACTTTCCCAGAAATGAAGATCTCTAAACAGAAAAGGGAATTGGGGAACATCATTGATAATTTGTTCTCCTTCCTGTTGTGTCTCCAGGACAGAAAATGAGAAATGTTCACAGTGTGGAGACAGAGAGCAAAAATTGTTTCTTCCCCATCCAAAAGTTTGGGTGCAAATGTGTAATTAAGAGACTGATTAAATGTTTTTGGTGGACACACTTGTCAGTACTCATTAGTACAGTTCTCAGTTTTCAGTACACCTCTCAAATATGTTTGCACCCTGTCTCGTTTTCACAAACTTGCAACCTATGCTACGTCTGTTTTGTTTTTAGTATTCTTCAATATGTTGTGTTTTCTTGATGCAAATATCAATTTCATATTTGTTCTGTTTAAAGGTTCAGTATCTAAAGAGGAGAATGCGGTAACTTGGGTCAAGTTCTCAAAAGTAAGCTTTGCATACTGTAATACTCAAAAATGGTTAATGTTTAGAATTGTTACAGTTAAATACCATGAATTATGTATTGACTGGTAAACTGCAAATGTTTTCATTTTAAAATAGAATCATAGCCTCTCTTTTATAAAGATGGATGTGCTGCAGCTATAATTGTCACTGCACTTAGTTTTCCCTTAGTCCCCTTGCATAGTATACAAAGAGCTGTTGATCATGCTTGTAAAGTCCATCTCAAGCAGATTGCTTTGAAGGGATGAAGATGCTGATGCACTTTCCCTGATTTCAGAGCAGCATTGTCTCTCTAAAATATGCTGTGCCTGCACTACAGTGATATGGGCATATGTTGCTGGGGACATAGCTATCTGCATTGTCACTGCTGCTTCACAAGTGTATAGCTTGTCAATCAACACCTGGCCACACCTAGTGCTGCCTGATGCTCTCTGAATGTACAGCACTGCCTCTGTTGCTGAAGCAATCCCCCTAGCTGCAGGGTCTTGGGATGGGGGGAAAGAATATTAGGCACAAATGAATGGGGATTTGGCTTCCTCTGGGAATGTACAGGACATTTTTGTTTTACTTTAGAAGGTTTGTGCATCACAAAGTAACTGAATTTGGAACTTGTTTAGTCTGTTGTGTATGGTACACTCTTAATTCATCCTAGCAGTTGCAGGAAGAGTTTCAAATGTAGTTTGAGTAGATGCTATATTTACACTTTTTTATGGTGAGTATTTTCGTAAAGATTCCCGTGCTGAAGCAGAAACAAGTGTATCCACTATAATTATACCGAACCCTCCAGTATTTATATGTCAGCATGGAGTATTTTTGCGATTCTGTAGCTAAATCATTTATATAATTTACAGGAAAACATGCCCCGAGCTTCATTCACCTTTTGGGTATGGTTTGATGCCATTGTGATGCTTGTTACAGGACATATGAAGAACATTTGGAAAGATGGGTAATTATGCAGTTTTTCAGTAAATATTAGACCTTGAAGAAAGGTCCTGTTCACAGTTTTGAGTTGTCCTGTAAATTTTTTTGCCTGGGAAGGAGCACTAGGTAATCTTATAAAGGAAAGAGAGTTCAGTAACATCAGTGTTACCTGTAAATATATAAACCAAATGAGTTTGCTACTATAGCACTGAATGCTCACACCTACTGTAAGTTAGTGGAAGCTAGATTGTAATATGTTTGCAAAATGATAAATTGATCACACAGTGACTGTAGCATCTAAGACCTTAGTGCTGGCCTTTGGTATTTCTTGCACAGCCCTCAGGCCCCAGTATTAAGTGTTTTTCCTGCCTACGTGCTTACTCAGACCAGATCAGTGCATGACTTAGAACAGTATAAAGAGAAGCGTTACTGACTTTGTTAGACCTGTGACAATAGGAAAGCCTGGGAATCCCTCCCCTTACATTGGACGTAGTCCCCTTTGTCTTGTTTGTGAGCAAAAATGTGATATTTTACATTCCAAATAACATTGTTCCTGTTTTTTTTGTTTTAACACAGCCATGTGATGGGATTTGTAAGCCGCGGCATAGAGGACTCTCTTCTGAAAACAATGCAGCAGGGTACTTTCCTGCTCCGTTTTAGTGAGAGCATGCGTGATGGTGGCATCACATGTTCCTGGGTGGACCACCAGCAGGATGGTATGAAACATTAAAATGGCCTTGCAACATTTAGGGCTTGTTTACACCAAATGCAGGCCAGATCTGCATGAGTTTCTGCACACGCAGTGCAGTGTTCCATGCCACGTTTGTGATGCGTTCCGGGCCCTTTTTTTTTTTTAGTTTAAAATGGGCTTTCAGCGCGTTCCAGGGTGTTTGCATGCATTTCCGATGCGTTTTCGATGCATTTGCATGCGTTCCAGAGCAGGAAAAATAGGGCTTGCTGCAGTTTTTTTTTACATTTTTTTACATGTCCTGGAACTGCTGTGGTGTGAACTAGAGCCCAAAATACCATTGGAATAAATTGGACGCAGTTTTGATCCGGTCTGTAACTGCTCTGCTCTGCTCTACTCCTGAAACGCACTTGGTGTGAACTAGCCCTTATATCTTCTACTAGCATCTAAATAAGTCAAATCAAATCTTAATTCAGTCATTTCAAAGGGCTTTTAAAAAACGTTTTAAACATTTGTGAAGTCTCATGGAAATTATATAAATCTCAAGCATGTAGTGGAGTAACTACAGCCATTGCAGTCCAGGTGGCTGCTATGGGGGCCCTAGGTTGGAGGGGGCCCCACTAGGAAGGTTGTTGAGGCAAGCTAAAGAGTATTTCCACTTTTGCAGCCAAATTGTGATAACACCTACTTTTATTTGTAACATGTTCTCATTCACATAACATAACTTATAAACTCATAAATAAATTGCAGTTTTGCTTTTCCAAATGCTCTTTTATGGATGCTCCGTGCCTGAAAAATCTTGCGTAATGCCAGGGGCCGGGGGAGTGTTACTTGTCACAATTAACCCTGCCTGTACTGTGTTGGCAGATTTCATTATCACTTTATGAACTGTCTGTCCTAGCAAAGGGTTAAAGTGACATTAAACCCTCAGATTTTTTAACATAAAACAATACTGTAATGTGTGCCTTACTGTAATCCATGGTGGTTTCCCTTCTCTTTGCTGCTCTTCCTTTTAAATCCTCATGTCTTCTCATGCTTGGGGAGAACTTCCCTTTGCAGCTGAGTGCCTCTTCCTGTAGTGCTGGCTCAGGTTGTGAACCTGCACACAGACACCATGTAGCCATTCCAGAGACAAGGCAGTCTGCTGCAAAACAGAAGTTCTGCCCAGCATGAGAACAGATACAGATTTAAAAAGAAGAGCAGCAAAGAGAAGGGAAACAACCGTGGATTACAGTAAGGCACACATTACAGTATTGGTTTATGTTAAAAAATCTGAGGGTTTAATGTCACTTTAAGGACCTCAAAACATTGTATGTTAATGCACTTTTAAAAAAACTGTCTTTTTCTATGACACATGAAATCCTAAAAATTCTTCCTTTGTTTTAGTGACTGCTATACACTGTTTCCATGCTTGAGGCTCAAGGGCGGGGACAGAGACTCCAAATGACATCACAAATCCCAAGAACTATTGACAGCACGACTCCTCTGCTGTCAATTAGGCTTTGCAGGGCTAGGCAGGGGGCATGTCAGCTCGGCATCCTTTAGGTCCCAATGAAGAAAAAGGGACACAACCTGACTAAGCCACAACAGATCTGCCTCCCTAGTTAGTGTGGTCAACAGGAAGCCCAGGATTGTCAAGGGGACTGGCAGGATCACCAGCTGTTTATTGTGGCTTGCACTTTCCCATTACAAAAAAGCATTACATTCATAGTAAGGGCCAGAAGAATGTAGTCCCAAAACTTTATATTTAGGTTTACATCCACTTTAAACATGGCAAAACTGACTTCTCAGTGTTCCATGTCTCTCAGAGATAGTATTGTGCCAAAATGCATACAAATAGTTGTGGAAACTACTTGAAATTGGCAATTTTTGTGTCCAGGTTTTTATTATTTTAAAAGGCTGATGGATATGTTTTTGTAACTTGATTTGTGTCTCCCCCACATAGGAAGCTACTCTATCCGCTCTGTGCAGCCATATACAAAGAGGGAGCTATCGCACATCCCCCTCACTGAGATTATTCGCAACTACCAACTTTTAGCAGAGGAAAACATCCCCGAGAACCCACTGAAATATCTCTACCCTAACATCCCCAAGGATGAGGCCTTTGGGAAATACTATGAGCAGAGAAGTGAGCGTAAGTTTTTCATACTTTGCTTAATCAATCTGTATCAGGAATACATTAATACAGATTTATATTAACAGCAGACCAAGAAAAACTTCCTTTTGGGTGTACACAACACCCACCTTCTGGATAACATTAAATGTGTGCTTAAAATAGATCTAAAGAAAAAGAAGATGTCACCAGCACACCTTAGGAATGTGTCCCAACAAACGTCTTTTTATTGATGCATATTGTCCCAGCAAAAGCAACGTTTCAGGGCCAAACAGGGTCCCCTTTATCAGGCTCAGTATGAAGGGGACCCTGCTAGGCCCTTCTGATTTGTGTAAGGCCATCTACAGTCACTACAGCACCCATTTCTCAAGGGGTTTCCGGTATGTAGTGTGGCGGAACGCATTCTGAACGTAAAGTAGATCTAACCCAATCAGTAAAATCTCATATAAGCTTAAAAACGTCTGTACGCAACTGTGCAAAACGCAATGGGGGGAATTTATCAAAGCAATTGCGAGTGTTTGAACTCGCATATGTTTGCATGGAATATATTTGCGCCAGATTTAAGTTGCTAGTGTAATGCTGTTCATCAATGAGATGAGAAAGAGGACTCGTAACTCCAGTCAAAAAGCTTAACTGTCACTTCTTGAAGAAATGGTCATGGGGACTTCTTAAGTAGCGATTGTTAGGTGATGCTCCAGTTTCAGACAGCTGCAGGACAAGCGCACATCTAAACAGTTGCGAACTTTCGCAAAACAGGGGGAGTTGGAAAATTAGCACAAGCTCTGGTCAAAACAGGCACACATGTTAAAAGGAGAGGATAAACAGATTTGTACATTTAAAAAAAATTATCTAAGAGGGTAAAACTGTCGCAATTGCTTTGATAAATTCCCTCCAGTGTTTTTTCTCTGTTTTATATGGATCTGAATGCAGGTGCATGGTTTGCTATGACCCCGTGTATATAGCTGTGTAAAGTTCACTGCATTAACCTTTGCTGCATTCAGATCTGTAAAATCAAAATATAAAATTCTGTGTCCACAGTCCTGTGTATGGACCTGATTTTACACTGTACGCATGTGTGCTAAAGTTTCCATGTATACAGCGTACAGCTTGAATGTACTCTATTGGAGTACAAGAGCTGTCTGCATCCTAGAAACTGACAGGTTGCATTGATACTGTACGCTTATTCATTTGTACACATGGAAATGTTACATGTGTACAGCTCTTGGACAACTTAAAAAAGCAGGTTCTAGTTGCATGAGCCCTAAAGGTGTATGCAATGGCAAATCATTTTTTTTTTCCTTTTTGGATGGAACAGGGAAGGGGTTAGACTGTCAAGTCCTTTTTGCTGTCAGTGTCCTCGCTGGGGACATTCACCCATCTAGTTTTCCTAATGGCACATTGCATAGGCATGGCCCATCCTTGTCTAGTGGGTCCAGTGCAATAATGTGCAGCTGGCTCTAGAGTGAGTGCGTTCAGACAGGAAATGGCTGAAAGAAAGCTGTATTTTATAAAAAAACAATATATCAGTGATTGTTTATGTGCTTTAGCAAACTAAAAGTCATGTAGGTAAAGTTTTGGACCAGCTTAAAAGCTGAACTCCATGATATGCAAATCTTGTCTAAATACAAGAGCCACGTGTATTCTTACTTGATCTTGCGGTGCTTTGTGTATTTCTTCCAGATATGTGCGTAAATCCAGTGTGACTATTCACAGGAACTTCCTGTAATCAAGACCAGTCACTGCTGCTCTCTCTCCTTGTACTGCGTGACTGGTCTTGTATGCCCCTCCCACTCCTGTAGTTTTCTACTGGCGGTCTGGAGAGCCTACTGGGTCCCTCCCAGAACTCTGCTCTCTGTACAGACGATGTGCAGCAAAGTGATTATGTCACTGCTAATTTTACAAGTAATATCTGAGTTTGTGAAGGCATTTGGTGCAAATGGCGGTGGATTTTTTGGGCTATTATTTGCAATAAAGTTTTTTGGTTTTTTTTTTGTCCCTAAAGTTCAGCTTTATAGGAACATACCTTTAGCAATCCAAGACTTAGATCATTGGTGTAGGAAACACCTTTTCAAAGCAAAACATCAAAAGAACATGACATTTCCTGATAAGCCAGATCTGCACTGTGTAATGCTGAGGCAGCAGTGTTTTGTATCCTGTTACATGACATTTTTGTTGCTGTTATTCTAGAGTTAAACAGCCTGGCGCATGACTTTTCTTCTAGTTTACCATAAATATATATGTTTATTTTCAGTAACGCTGGAATATCAGAAGTACTTGAAGCGCAGGCTGATCATTGTTTCTGAAAGGTAAGGTGCTGAGTTAGAAAGACATAAAAGTGACTGTACCAGTAAAAAGCTATGCAGGTGCTGTGGGACCCGCATACAAGAGGATGAGCTATTGCCTTATCCCCTGTCCTTCTGGAGCATGCAGCTGTCCCATTGAAACAATGTTAATATGATATGTGGCTGTTGTCTGTGACCACCCAGTGCATACAAGCCTGCTAGACAGCATCACCCGCTGGATGTACAGCCCAGACGTAACCTCAGGCCGCTCTGATGGGCTTAGCTTCAAAGCTCCCTGCCTCATACACATTCCTATTGGCCATTGAGGCTGCCCTTCATAGTGACAGGACAATAGAAATATGTGGGGCCAGTGTTTAACAGCAAGCTCATGCGAGGGTGAGGATTAGCAGCAAGCTCTGACACTAATTGGAAGTGTACTTCCTTTCAGATGGCCAAAACAGAAATGGTGGTAGACTGCTACAAGAATATATATATCTACGACAGTTTGCCCCCCCTTCCTCCCAATGGCTAAGTGGTTTCTACTTCTATCCATATCTAGATAGTGTAGGGTCTACCCAACTTTCCTTGAACAATTACATTCAATTGGAGTTCATCCAGCATAATAAATTCACTCCAATAGCTGTGACATCATGTTACAATCGCATGCTTTGTATTTATTCGGCAATAATGATATTTTTCTTCATTCTAGAAACATCGATGATTCACAGAGCAGTATTGCTTCTGGAACCCCACAACACTTTGCTGAAACACCACAATATGACCCTGGGACACCCATGCATGACAGCGACCCTTTCCAAAATTCGTTGGACATGGATCTGAATAATCTCATTGATGGTGAGCTCGTGCTACGTTCTGTAGAATGATTTGAAACTTAGATATACATGTATAGTAAAGATAATGTGGATTCAATTCTGGACCTCATCTCTGGCATTCATAATTAAGCTGCCCATACACGTTCTAATCTGTTTGCACAATATTCTTTACCAAAACTAGACAGACCTACACAATCTGTTCAATTTGTATACATTTAGGCATGCTCTTAAACGGCGTAGTTGTCCTTTGATCTAAGGGAGATAAAACTTTATGGTGTATGGTCAGCATTAGGCCTCATTCACATGGGCTTGTTGCCCCTGTACAGCACGAAGGGACCTTTGTTGATGCACTCACGTCTGCATGAAGATGTGCACAGGCAGCTCATTTAATTCTATTTAGATGCAGGTGCTGTGCGCCCTCTTATGCTGCTTTCCGCAGCAAGTTTCGACAGCCGCACACAGACCTGGACCTCTCTTTCTGCCAGTGTATGTGCACTGCAGCAGACCTTGATTGGCTGCTGCTACAGCTTGCTTTCCTAATGTGAGTTCTACTATATAATGGATTACATTGTATAGTAGAACTGTATAGTAGTAGTACATTGTATAGTAGTAAGAGGCTGATACCAATTCAAATTCTGGTACTTACACTAGTTGCATTTATACTTAAACACAACACAACTGGCTAGACTACAAAACACAATAAAAACACCTACAAACATGGGAACTTTGGACCTTACTGGCTGCTGACATAACCTGTAACTTATCCTTTGGCTGGGTGGTCCACCACCCTATGCCCAACTCCACAACCCCCTACCCTCATGTCTCCCCCTACCCTACCTACTTGCACTTGCCCCCTAACTGCTACTATAATAAAGGAAAATGTATACCATGAAACGTGGTTTGCTGCTGTAGAGTTCCTTAATTCCAAAGTGGAATAAAGGAACTCATTCTTTATGCTTGCTCTCTACCACGCCCCAACAACCCTACAGCACCATATGCATCTGTTTGGCCCTCAACTCTGTGGTCTGGTACATACCTTTCAAGGAACACAGACACTGAAACCTCCAAGAGATTTGTGTTCCCCATTTTCCCCTCTCTAGTATCTTACTATATCCTAACTTTCCCATCTTTAACCCCTCTCTGGAGCATTGTATTACCAGCAACTACTATGAACAAAATGGAAGGCATAATGTTTTAACATGTACTTGTCTCATTTGTTTATTACAAAAATAATAAAATAAACAATATAAAATAATGATTTGTAATAAATACACAACAGCATTATTGGTGTTTTTTTTTTTTTTTATCACCCTTGAGTTTGGCTTTAGGATTTATTTTGATGTAACTGAAATTTTACATTGAAATCCCTTTGTCCATCTAGGTTTCAAGATAGAAGATCTCCTTATGGATCATACCAGTGACCCCATGTTTTCAGGCCCTCAAGTGGAATCTAGCGAGTTGCTCCATGACTCTTTTAATGCTTACCAGTGATCCATCGTATTTGCTGTGTCCATGGTTTTCCCAGTAGAACTGCACTGCTCCTGCTCTATCCTTCTATACATGCACACTGTGTACAGTAATGTCATGTCTCAGGTGATGCCCTGCGTGCAACCCTTATGCATTCTAAGCAGTTAAGTGAAAGAAACCTTATAGTTTGAGGGCTTAAGGTACTAAAACTGTGGAACAAACTACATAAAAAAAACAAAAAACTAGATTTCTGGAGGAAAGTAGCACAGAATGAGGTTCAATAGCTAATAGGAACCAGTCTGTTATCACTAATAACAGTTGTAGTCAGAATAATTCAGGCTGATTTTTGGTTTACTGCTATTGGTAGCTGCTTAGCATTGCTGGCTCCATGAATGATATACCTTCCCTGACAATAGGCACATGCAATGGATAAGGAAAGACAGAGTGACTTTATATTAAAGTTTATACTGTATGGCATAGCACCTTCTTCCAGCCTTATTGTATAGGGACCTGGGATGGCTTTTAATGATCTGAGAAGGCTGATTGCAGTTGACTTATATTTTTGAGGCTATGTACTGTAATTTGCAAGAAAGTATATGTTTTTCTTTTACCTGTCCCTTGATTGCCTTTTGGAGAAGGGATATTTGGGCACGACTGGGGGGGGGGGGGGGGGTGATCTTTAA